TCTTCATATGCTTATTGGCTGCTTAAATGTCTTCTTTGGTGAAGTGTCTGTTCATGTCCTGTGCCCATTTTTTAATTAGGTTACTTGTCTTTTTCTTGTAGAGGTGTTGTAGTTTCCTATAGATTTTAAATTAGTCCCTTGTCTGATATGTCATTGCAAAATATTTTTTCACATTCTGTGGTACACCCTTTTTACTCTTTTGGTGAAATACTTTGATGCATGTAAGTTTCTAATTTTTAGAATGTCCCAAGCTTTCCTTCTTCCATGCCATTGAATTTTAATACTAAATATCCAGCATATGTTGAATAATAAAAGTGAGAGTGGGCAGCCTTGCTATGTTTCTGCCTCTTGAAAGTTTTGCCTTTAAGTATAAAGATTGCTGTAAGTTTCTGGGAGATGCTCTATGAAAGAGGTTGCCTTCCATTATTAATTTACTAATATCTGGATGTTTGCTTTCTTTAAATCAGAAGTAAGAGTTGAATATATATGAGTATCAGAGTTCTGGTGTGATGCTGTAGGATAAGCACTGGACTACAAGGTCATTTTGAACTCAAGGTAGGCAGTTCAAACTCATCAGCAGCTCCTCAGAAACTCTATACAAGGTCACTATGAGTCAGAATTGACTTGATCATACTTAACAATAACATACATGACTATCATATTAAATTTTCTTTCAAGCATTCTACATGTGTATCATAAATACTTAAAAAACCTCACTGCTATCAAGTCAATTCTGTTTTGTAAAGAAGTGTTTTCAAGGCTGTCAATCTTTACAGAAGATTGACATCTTTTTCCCTCAAAGCGGCTGGTGGATTCAAACTGCTGATTTTTCAGTTAGCAGTCCAACACTTAATCTACTGTGTCACCAAGGCTCCTTCTGTCATAAAATATGATAATAACCAAATGACCTGCTATAAGGAGGAAAGTATTGGCCTCAATGTCATAGGTTATGTTCCAATTTAAATAAATTGTGCTGTTTGTTAGCTGCCCAACTCATGGTGAACTCATACACAATGGGATCAAATGGTTGTGATTCACAGGTTTTCCACTGGCTAATTTTTAGAAGCAGATTGTCAGACTTTTCTTCCACTCCACTAAAACCTGTTTAGCATCAAAGCAACAAGCATCCTCCACTGACAGACAAGTGGCTGTACCTGAGATGTATTGGCTGGCCATCGAATCTGGATCTCCCACATGGGAGATCTACTACTGAATCACCACTTTGAGTGTTGTTGCTGCTGTTGTTGTTGTTTGTTGCTGTTGAATCAGTTCCATCTCATGGTGATCTTAGGTATAACAGAACAGAACATTGCCCAGTCCTGCACAATCTTCATGATCATTGTTATGTTAGGAGATAAAATCAGATTGGCAATGTTAAGAATTCCTAAGGTCATAAATTCTTGGCATGTAATTTGGGTGTTTATTTTACTAATTACATGCCAAGAATTTATGACCTTAGGAAATCTTAACATTGGTCTTCGTATGCTATGGCAGAGGGACTTGAGGAGGGTGAAGCATTCTAGAATGACTACAGAATTGGAGAGACATTTGCTAAAGAGAGGACACTAGAGCGGGGTAAGTTTTCAGGGAAATGTTATGAGTTTAGTTTGGGCCTGTTGGATTTGAGCCATCTGTAGAACATTCATGTAGAAATATATGAACTTGGAGCCAAGCCGAGAGATCAGGTTGGAAGTAGGTCCACAAAACACTCTGGGAACTCATCAGAGTATGCAATTGTGGGTCAAGTACAGAGAGACCAGAAAGAGTACAAGAGAGCAGGACACAGGGTGGTGGTGTAAGGGTCAACAAGGGATGGGAAAAAGGCAAGGCAGGTAGAAGGAGGACTCCTGGTGTGGTGCTGTAGGCTCAGCACTGGACTGCAAACCACAAGGTAGGCAGTTCAAACCCACGAGCTGCTCCTCAGAAACCCTGTACAGGGTCGCTGTGGGTTAGAATCAAGTCGATGGCATTTAACAACAACAACAAAGGTAGAAGGAAAGGGTGAGGTCTCAGACACCAAAGAGAAAAGACTCTATGGAATAAGTAGTCTACCACAGTGGCACATCCCACAGACAAATCAGGTAAACAAGGAAGGACAGGGAAGGACTTCAGCTTGACCATAATAGGGCCCTTGTTGGCCTTAACTTGAGAGGTTTCAGGAAGAAAGTCAAGGGAATCCCTTATGTGTCCTAACACATGAAGTAGGACCTAGAACAGACATATTAACTATATTGGGAGATAAAATAAGTAGTTTAGCTATCACTGGATGGATGGATGAATGGATAGATGTGTGGCCAAATAATGGATACATGGGTTGGTGGAGAGATGGAGGAATGAATAGACAGGTGGGTGGGTGGACAGATTGAAGGATGGTGGATAGAAAGAATGTGGTCTGAGAGATCAGAGAAGACTTCGTGAAAGAAGTGGAATTGAGTTATAATCAATGGAGATAATAAGAGAGGAGTCTCCACATGAGCTCCATGAGTCAGGAACAGTCCAGTCTCCATGGGCTTTGGAAGGAAACCAGCATGGGTAGACTGTGGAAACTTGTGGGGAAGGAAGAGTCACAGACCGGTAAATGAGGCCAGGAAAGGCTAAGCAGGACTGAATCACTAAGGCTTCACTCCCCAGCACTCTGAGCCCCGAGAGAAATGGTGAATCATGTGTTTGGGGAGCATCTACCATGTACAATATCACTGTCGACACCAAGAATTCAGTAGTGACTGAGACAGATACCACAACAGATAGGGATTGGGCAAGGGAACCAGGCCATTAATAGGCATGGGGTCAGACAAGGGCTTGTCTTTACCTCAAGGGATGTCACCATCCCCACCACTCCCCCTACAGCCTTTGTCCATCATGCCCAGCAGGTTCTCACTATGGCCTGGGCCCCAGAGTGCCGGTCCCAGATGCTGGCCTGGCCAGTTTTGGGCTGAGTCTCCGTCATCATGGTTTATCTTCGGCAGTGGGACTCACCTCTATGTCCTAGGTAAGTGGCTCCCATAACTTTTCAACCACGCCTGCCCTTCTCCTTTCTCTAGAAAATCCGTTTTCTTTCTCAGGGGTTTCTTGTATCCTGCCCTCTCCAGCCATAAGGAACCATCCTTTACCTTTCTCCAAGGGACTTAGGGGAGATAGGTTGGTCTCAGGGGTTCTAACAGGAGAGGTCCCAATATCAGGAGCACCTCCATCAGAGTCTGACAACCAGGCACCAGCGTAGTAAGTCCAAGAGTCTTGGCTTGGGGAGCTGAACCCCAGGAACAAGTAATGCTGCCTTATGTATAGAATTGGGGGCCAGATACTGGCCTGAGCAAGGCACTGGGTGGCTTTAAAGACATTTCAGATATGCCTCTGGGTCTGGGCTGATGGCTGGATCCCACCAAGGCTATCCCACAGGAGGCCCAGGGACAAGACTGAGGCTGTGACCCAAGACTGGGGTGCAGGAAGTCAGCCCAAGGAAAGAACAATGTAGGGTGAAGAGAAGGTTGGGCTGTGGGAACTTGAAGTCCAGGTTCATGAATCCCATTGGGCAGAGAACTGTCATGTCCTAGAACCCTTTAACCTCTGAGGTCAGGTGTCTCCCCTGTCTAGGGTGTTGCTCTCTGCCGTGGAGTGAATTTGGCAGTGAGGAGGGCTCAGTGAATTTCTATCTTCCAGGTAAATCAGCGGTCTTTCAGAGATTTCTGAGGGGGCACCTTTGTCCCTTACTTTATTGACAAATCACCCCAAAAACCTATCCAGGCAAAACATCCTGTGACCAGGTCAGTAGGGAGAGGGGAAGATGAGCAGAGTCTGGAGGGTCCCTGAAGGTTTTGGCTGGGAGAATCCTGCTCCAGTCTGCATGACCACTGAGTGAACCACTTAGCTGGGCAGAACTGGGCCACAGGGGTGAGAGGAGCTCCCCAACCCCAAACACTCAGGACTTCTGCACACATTCTGTCAGGATGTCTTCCCTGTCTAGGAGAAGCCTTGGTAGGACAAAACAGAAGGCATTCCAAGAATGCAGCAAGGTTTTAAAGGAAGTTGTAAAAACAATGTTTCTGCAACACCCCAACCTGGGTCTGGGGCTGGGACTGAGGGCACAAGACAGTGGCCAGCTTCCAAACTCAGACTCCAGAAATGTGGGTACAGCTGTTTTAGTCAAGTGGGAAACTGAGGCTACCAGAGGAGAGGGGCTTAACATGTCACTGAGAAAATATGACTTGGAAAGGGCTTCTAGAAAGAGCTGACAACTTGTTCTCTAGCAGCCCTGAAAGGAAAGAGATTACAGGAGGACAAATATGGGTCCACTATGAGCAACCCAGAGCTGTGATGGGGGGTGGCAGAAGGTACTCCCAACAATTCAGAATCATCCTTGAGTCTCACATCAGTGCCTCCGTCCACCAGGTCAGCCCAAGACCTCGCCTATGGTCACTCTGTTCCTGCCATCCTCTCAGGAGCTCAAAACCAACAAGGCCACACTGGTGTGTCTCATCAGTGACTTCTACCCGGGCACCATGACAGTGGCCTGGAAGGCAGATGGTACCACCATTACTCAGAGTGTGGAGACCAGCAAACCCTCCAAACAGAACAACAACAAGTACGCTGCCAGCAGCTACCTGACCTTGACGGCTGCTCAGTGGATGTCTCATGACAGCTACAGCTGCCTGGTCACACATGAGGGGAAAACCATGGAGAAGAAGGTGATCCCAGCAGAGTGTGCTTAGGACCTGATCTCCCCTCCCCACCCACACACACACACCCAAGAGGGCCAGGAAGGGCTGGATTATGGATAGGGATTCCCTATCCACACACCCTTCCCCAATTCTCCACTATATCTCTAAGCTATCACCTGAGTCAGCTCAGACATGAATAGATCCCATACCATCCCTATTCTTCTCAATAAAGATTTGACATTTATCATGCAATATGTCCAATGCCCATTTGTGTCTGGTTGTGTCTTTGGGGAGGGTCCCTGTACAAGGGGCAAAGTAGTTCCTGCATGGAAGCCCTACTCCCTTATAGCACCCCCATACTTGCAAGGAAGTGGGATAAGTTTTATGTGCTGGGAGAACCTTGACCACAGTAGGGACTGTCCCTGCCTGTACTTCCCTGGTATACTGCTCTTGTCCAACCTAGAAGGAAAGAGACTGAAGGAAAGGTCTTTTGAACGAGTAGCCCCAGAGTATCAAGTATCACAACAGGGAGAAATTAGGATGGTTCCGTCTCCCAGTGAGCTCTGAGCACAAGAAGAGGCTCAATTTTCTGGTTTCATAATGGACCCAGGGAGACAGTGTTTATTTAGGAATAATCCAGGGTTTCCCAACACCTAAGTGTACTGGAAATATTTGAAGAAATTCACATATACATCCATCTCTTAAAATCTCAGAAGTTAAAATAGCTAAGTAAAGACATAATTCCTACATTAGGGAAAGAGTTTACTATTAGGTAACTAAGCATTTTTCAAATCAAGTTGACCCTGTCACCACCATAAGAAGCCCCATTACTGCTCTGTCCCATACAGTTGTATCCACAGACAATATTTGAGGGGAAATATCTGAGGAATGAGGCACATATTTTGCACACATTTGTCCTCTGTTTTGTCCCAATCTGTGTGGTATCAGATCAGCTCAGCATGGGGTTGGGATCTCTAGCATGAAGTCTTGATGTGTAACATCAGGTTGTGAATAGTGTTAGGGACAGGTTGATGGATGGAGATGATTGATGTCACACAATTTGAGAATGGGACATTGGTGAAATTGAAGTAAGTGAAAAAGTGTATGGTCCCAGGCACACAATGGACTTGTGATGATTTTCTCTGTGATTCTGAAAACTATGCCACAGGTATTTTAAATACCAGCAGGGTCACCCATGGTGGACAGATTTCAGCTGAGCTTTCAGATGAAGACAACTAAGAAGGAAAGACAGACTACTTCTGAATTC